CAGTCTGTTGGGGCACCACGCCTTGTTCCCAATGTCCACCCTCATCATTCCCTGGGGATCTTGCTGCTCCCCTCCCCTGCTGTTCCGCTGCACTCCCCCAGTACTTTGCCTCAGTGTGGCGGGATCAGATTGGGTGCAATTCCCACACTGTATCTCTGGTGTTGTCCCCAGCAGGGGAAGGCTATAATCTTTGATCTTCCTCAACAAATGCTTCAAGTCCTCACTTTCAGTGAGAAAGATTGAGTCATCTACATATATCTGGTTGTAAATAAACCTTCCTCCAATCCTAATCCTACCCTCTTCTTCATGTAATCCAGTGTCTCTGATTATTTGGTAAACGTACTGATAGGTAAGCATGGTGAGAGAACACAGTGAACACTTTAAACCATGCAGAATTACCTTGTTCAGTTTACACAACTGTCTCTCTATCCATGCAAATTCTGCAGGAGCATAGTGAAGTGTTCTGCAATCGAATTCTTCTCCAGGCTACCCAGGGTTTACTCTGGGCCACAAAGTCAAGTACCTTTGCATAGTCAATAAAACACAAGTAAACCTCTTTCTGGTACTCTGCTTTCAGCCAAGATCCATCTGAAATCAGCAATGACATCCCTTATTTCATGTCCTCATCTGAATCCAGCCTGAATCTGTGGCAGCGCCCTGCCAATGTACTGCTGCACCCATTGTTGGATGATTTTTAGCAAAATTTTACTCGCATAAGTTATCAATGATATTGTTTTATAATTTGAGTATTCTGTTGGGTCACCTTTCTTTGAACTGGGGACTCTTCCAGTCAGTTGGCTAAGCAGCTGTCTTCCAAATTCCCTGGCATAGATGAGTAAGTGTTTCAGTATTCCAACAATTCCTAGCATCTTGTTTTTGGCTAATGCTTTTGGTCCTGCTTGAATTTACTTCCCTCAGTACCACTGGTGTGGGATCCTATGCAGCCTCCTGATATGGCGGAATGTTGACTCACTCTTTCTGTAGATTCTTTCCATCTTCTTTTGATGCCTCCTGCATCATTTGATCTTCTTCCCATGGAATTTTTAGGCGTGAATTTTTTCTTGAGTTCTTTCAGTTTAGTAAGTGCTGAAGGTGTTCTCCGTTTTAGGCTTTCTGACTCTACAGATTGCTTTTTGGTTTTCTGACTCTACAGGTTTCTAACGCTTGGTCTTTGCACATTTCATTATAATTCTTTGACTTCACTTCTTCCAATTGTCTGTAACTACTGTGAGATTAAGAGCAAGATTCAGGGTCTCTTCTGACATCCACTTTTATCTTTTCTTTCTTTCCTGTCTTTTAAATGACCTTTTTCATTCTACATGAATGATGTTCTTGATATCATCAGGTCTGTCATTAGCATTCAGTGCAACAAATCTGTTCTTGAGATGTTCTCAAAAAGTAGGTGGGATATACTCAAGGTTGCATTTTGGCTCTAATGGACTTGTTTTCATTTTCTTTAGCTTCAACCTGAATTTACAAATGAGCAATTGATGGTCTATTCCATGGTCAGCTGCTGGCCTGATTTTAGCTGCTGATATTGAACTTCTCCTTTGTATCCTCCCACAGATGTAGTCAGTTTCATTTCTGTATATTCCATGTGGAGAAGTCCTTGTGTGTAGCATTTGCTCGGAAGAAGTTGTTGGTCTTGTAAAATTCTATTATTCAATCTCCAGCTTAATTTTATCACCACGACCATCTTTCCCAACAATTATCCCTTCCTCTTGGCTTCTAATTTTTGCATTCCAATTGCCAAAATTATCAATGCATCTTGATTGCATGTCTAATAAATTTCAGACTGAACTCATTGGTAGAATTCTTCAATCTCTTCATCATTAGCTTTCAATGTTGGTGCATAAATTTGAACAACAGTTTTATTTATTGGATTTCCTTGAAGGGGAAAAAGTATGATCCTATCACAGTCTGTATTGTGTTTTAAGATAGATCCTGAAATAGCCTTTTTTATCTGTGTCATCCTTCCACAGGGGCCATGCTAATCTCTGTATTATTCCAGTTTTTAGTATATGTGTAAGGTGACCAGACATCCCGCTTTGGCGGGACAGTCCCGATTTTTAACAATTTTTCCCTCGTCCCGCGGCGTTTTAAAAAAGTCCCGATTTTTGGAAAGAATGCACGACAAGCTAGGGTATACGGTTTTCGGCTGCCATGTGGCTAATTCGCCAGGATATGAGTTTTATCTATGGAGTCCCGCTTTACCAATGTTAAAATCTGGTCACCTTATATGTGTGCCTCAGAAGCAAGCATGAAATATCCTTTGTGGCAATGAATGCAACACTATTCCTCTTGATTGTTTCATTCCCAGCACAGTAAAATATATGATTTCCTGATTCAAAGTGGACAGCACCAGTCCCTTTCAGCTCACCAATGTCCAGGATATCAATCTTTAGGCCTTCCATTTCATTCTTGATGACTTCGGTTGGCCTGGATTCATACTTCACGTGTTAAGTTCTGATTGATCATAGATGTTTGCAGCTGTTTCTTTGCCCTTGCATTGTGTCCCACCAGCCAATGGAGATCCTGAAGGCTCCACTCCCAGGCTTTGCTCCCCTCACATTACCAGGGTAGACTCTACTCTGAAAGAGTAACTCCCCGGTCACATTTGGGGTGATTTTTAACCCAAGGGTCCCAGCCCCCAGCACTATCTCTGACAATGCTCTGCTTCCATGACTTAGGCCGTCAGTCTGACAATGTTTTGAAGCTATGAACAAGGTTTTCAGCAACTACTTCCTCTGAGGTAGGCCGCGGATTCCTTCTTTGTACTTTGAGTGGCAATCAAATTTGAGTTTCCTTCATGGAAGGCAAGAATTCTACCACTGCCTTGCCACTGTTCTACTAATAATGAGAATCATTGCGTGTTTGTTGACTATCATTTGGGGCATGTAGCATTCTAAGTTTTTCACATGTGTCCTCATAGCAATACACAACCACGGTGTGACCTAGCCAACAGAAATGTAAAGAGTAGTCTCTTGCCCCTTGACTATATAAGAAAAGCAACAATTATTGTTAACTGCAAAGTTATGCATACTATGCATACTATTTTGTCAAAATATGACTCAAGAAGAAATTTAATATGTAAGTCATTTTTCAGAGAGACAAAACCAATAGGGTCTTTCAAAATATGTTCTTCATGTTTGTTTTGTTCTATAAAGGCATCTTTACTCAAAAAGAGTACAGCACAGACCTCAAATGCCTGTTTCCTAACACTCCGTTCCAACAGCTAAAGTACATCTTCCTTTGGGGAGTAAGGAGAGGATAGTTTGTTACTTTCAATATTCAGAATAATAAAATAGATATAGCTGACTTTTCATAATATCACTGAGTACTCAAAAATGCTGTATGGGTTGAGTTTTACAACAGTGGTGAAACATCAAAGAGGAGTGAAAGATTATTGGTAAAGTATACATGTATATATATATATGGAACTCTAGCTTTGCTTGCCTAGTCACAGAGTTAGATAAGAAATCAGTTTCTGTTACTCATTTATAAACAGCTTTAGTCGTGGTGCAACACCAAGAGCAGAATCTCAGTGGCTTTTGTCGCCTTTCTCTCTAAATGGTATAGGTGTTCTAGCAATGGCCGTGGAACTAGAACTGACTCAGGTCTCCCCCCCAAGCATGGCTTCTGCAGCAAAGCAGTAGATGGCAGAATTGAGCTTGTCTTTTGTGAATTATTTCTTCTCACCTGCCTTCATTAGTAATATTGAAATACTCTTACATTACTCCTTCAGATAACTTCATGGTTTATCGTGAATAATTCGGTTGTCTCATGTGCTATTTGATTCTTATGTGTTGCATGCTATGTAAGGCTCTACATGTGAGCTTAGAATAACTCTAGTGCATCTGTCTCTCTCATTTGGCAGTTACCTTACCTAAAAAAAGATAGCTTTCTCATTTCTGTGCCTTTTCCCTATAATTTCTTCTGAACAAATTCATTATAACTTTCAATTTAACCTCTTGCCTTTAATTAAAGATAAATCAACACTAAATTATTTTCTTTGCGTCCTTCAACTCACTCAAACAACTATCTTGGATGTAAGCCTCTAATAATAACTCCTATCTCCGTAGTATGTGAGAATTAAAGTATACCTCCTCGCATGCAGAAACGAGTCCTCCTATGATCTAAATGTGGCTTGTGGGAAAACTAGTATTTTAAAGGGAAATGCAATTTTAAGTCAAGGAGAGTGAGTTCCTCAGGACAAAGTACAGAATCTGCGTGAGGAAGACTACGTCACTTTGTGACAGTGTTAGATAGCTAGATTTATGGACAGGGGGATTGTCCCTCCCATGCCTGCAAAGGCCCCCATAACAAGGTTGGGAAGAAATCAGGCAACCTTTAGATGCCTATGAAGACCGCAAACTAAGCATGCTCACACTCAAGCCCCCAGCCAGGTGGGAGGAACACCTAGGCGGTCCAAACTAGACACAGGCTCATGACCTCACCCAGGTGGGCTTAACCTAGCCAATGGGGTCAATCAATACCATCAGCAACACCTCCCCAGCTAGAGGCTTGAAATATCCTGGCTGTGGGCAGGCTGCCCTCTTTAACCCTGCTCTGAAGGTCAGAGGCAGGTCAAAGGGTGAGGGTGCACATGTGTCACCTGGGCGTGCCCCCTCAGGGTCTGCTCTGGGCCTACTCTGAGCCCACAGCCTCTCTTGCCTCCGTGCACTGCCCCCCTTGCTCTCTCTGGCCTCTGTGTCCTCCAACCCTTTGCTCCTTCTACCCCTCGGTCCCTGGGATCCTCCTCTCCTCAAATTCCGCACACGTGGTTGCTCTTTTCTGTGAGGTTGCTCATGCCCAGTTGAGAACCCCTTAGAGACTATAAAACCTGAAACTTGTCCTGTCCTTCATAAAAACCACTTGGGTTACAAAACGGGCTTCAAGGGGTGAATTCTTCCATCGTGTGAAGCCAAGAACCGAGGTGTTACGCACTCAAAAAACCTAACAAAAGCAGGAGTTTCATATCAAGGTAAATTGTCAAGGGTGAGAGTCCTACAGCAAAAGCTAGTACTCAACTCTTAAAGGCTGGAAAGCAAGAATAAATGTTTTTAAAGATTACTAGAGAGAAAATGGCTGGGAGCAATACGCTCCAAAAAGGAAGAAACATGACCTTGAAGTGAGCATAACTTTGACTGCACAGCCTTTTATTCCTGGAAAAGGACACTATGATAGGTAATGTAGAAGGCCAGTGAAACAGAGGAAAGGTGTCAAGACAGACACAATGGTTGCAACAAAAGCTCAACCATAGCCATTGTGAGGATGATCGGCCAGGACAGGGCAGTGTTTCGTTCTGTTTCAATCTCAAGGGTACCTAACGACATCATCCTTTTAATAGCGTGTTGGGCCTATCTCTTGGGCCTAGTAGACATCTACTCTTCTCAGGGTCTATGCCAGCCGTTCTCAACCTGTGGGTCACAACCCCTTTGTGGGTCAAACAACCCTTTCATAGGGGTCCCCTAAGACCATTGGAAAACACATATTTCTGATGGTCTTGGGAACCGAGGGGGTCTGCCCACATGCAGATACACCCACATATGAGTACCCAGCATGAAGACTGTTACCCGTGCTACAGCATGCTTCAAGACAAAATTTCATTTATTTGTCATTAGAAATAAATATTCACAATATAAAATTACATATTGTTTTGTGATTAATCACTATGTTTTATTCATGTTCAATTTGTAACAATGAAAATACATCTTGCATATCAGATATTTACATTATAATTCATAACTAGTAAAATTATAGTTATGAAGTAGCAATGAAAATAATTGTATGGTTGGGGGTCACCACCACATGAGGAACTGTATCAAAGGGTTGCGCCATTAGGAAGGTTGAGAATCACTGCTCTAAGTCTTTTGTTATCCTTGACCTACTTTACAGCTAAATTTAAAATAACTGATAGCAATGAAAATGATTCTAATCAATGGGAATGCAAATTCTTTTCCACCAGGATGCTAAAGAATCTCGATTTGCATTTTTAGTAGATGCAAATTCATTCTCACATTCCTAAGTTCCTGTTGTGCTCAAGCCCACCCTCACACTTACTGATTCTCTAGAAGACTTGACAGTACACAGGGGAAATTCACTACACTCACGGTTACAATTTATTACAATGAAAGGATACCAATTAAAAATCAGCATAAAGAAAAAGTGGATGCCTCAGAGCCTAGGAGAAGCCAGACATATCCTTTCAGTTGTGCCTTGATGTGTAGGGTTTTGTGTTTATTAGTGTCATGTAGGTTTGTAGCAAAGCAGTGGTCAAAGTGATATCAGGCCTAGAAAACATTTTAGCAGACAGGGTTTTTCAAGAACCCTTCAAGAGTCACTCTTTCATTGGAATGTGAGGGGTTGAAGTAAATATATAGATATGTATATATATATGCAACTCACAATTAATGCAATTAATGATGGTTGCACACAAATTCTTTCCATAACATACTTGTTTTAGTCTTGTAAGGATGCCTTCAAATAAAAAGGCTTAATTTCAATTCCAGAGCGATTAGGATCATCAATGAGAAAATTGGGACAAACTTAAAGTCCCTAATTGCAGAACATACACACAATAAAAACACAACAAAGGAAGCCCACCCAATAGAAGATAAAGTAGATGATGGGATCTCCTACAAACAAAGTACTTATATGCATCCAATTCTTCACAAGGGTAAAAAGAGAGCCCACAAACTGGGTGGGGGGCGGGGAGAGTATTTATCAACGACACAAAAAACAAGGGGCTAATTACTAAAATCTCTAGAATTATGCATACTTCAATAAGAAAAGAACAAAAACAATCAACCAGTGGACAAGAGTCATGAACAGACAATTCACCAAAAATGACACTCAAACAGCTAACAGATACTTGAAGAAATGCTCGCGATCATTGGTCATCTGGGAGATACAGATCAAAACCACAATAACACCTCACACCCACAATGATAGCTCTGTTAAAACAAAACAGAAAACACAAAATGCTGGAGGGGGGTGGTGGAGATATTGGAACCCTTAAACACTGCTGGTGGGCCTGT